ATATATTGTTGAGCACTTTTCTTTTGGTCAAAAATATATATTCAAAAAGTATATATATTTATTTCGTTGGAGCATTAACAATACATATTCAAAAAGATTTTTTGTCTTTTCTATCCAAAACTCAAAAAAACTAAATTTTCACTATTATAATTTAATAAGATTTCCATAACAATTGACAATAATAAATTTGAAATAATAAAAATAGAAAATACAACTGTTTACGATTAAATCAAATCTTAAATTAGTTTACGAAATCATATCACAACAGTTATTATACTTGCTAAATATAACTCTAATTATAGATTTTTTTTTTTTAAATCAAGCATATAACTCAAATCTATATTTAATACTTTGATTCGTAAACATATTGTTAAGATTATAATAGTGTGTTAACCTTAAATATTGAAACTGACTTTTTGAACGAGATGGGATGAGAATTCCTAAAAAAATGTCGTATAACATATTACAATTAAAATAAAACATTGCTTGCAATCATATATTTAAAATGTTTCTTTCAATTTATCTAGCATAGCATGTGCCAAATAAAAGATTTTGGGACGGGTAAAGTTTATTTCGTGATGAAAATTTTGAAAAATTTGGGTATGTTCTAAAACATAATAGTGAAATATTGAGAAAATAAAGAAAATATGGATAAATTCAACTAATAATGTAAAAATTAAATACCTAAACAAAAATACATAATATACGGGTATTCCATCTGAATCCTAGACCTACACGATATACAATCACAAACGAATAAATTAATGCTTATGTGATTAAATGTGTGTGTTACATATGTGACCATACAGATTTTATGTCTCATGAATTGATATTTCTACTTTTTTCTCTCTCTTTTTAATTATGTAATTGTCTTTACGGTAACCAAAAACAAATCCGATTAGTTATTTTGTCTAAACCAAATTGAAATTAAACCGAATATCAAACTAATATGAGGTGTGATAATGAATGTTATACCAAATAAATACATCTACAAACATAACCCCGCACGAACGTGCGGGTCCGAATCTAGTTACCAATTAATTTTGAGTTCAATACATATTGGAGTTAAAAAATCACAAAAAAATAAGAATCATAAGAGCATATTGTAAAAGCATCGCTAACACCAAAACATACAACTAAATGAGTAACCTACTATATATTAAAGGAAAGTATTAGAGGGATTATTAGAGGGGTTTTAAACTAAACTATACAAATACAACTTATGCATATTCATATGGTTAATTTATTAATTTTAGATGATAAATATATATATATATATAGATATATACTTTATGTAGATTTTTAATATTTCAATAATTAATTTAATTATATTTATTATTTTTATGAAAAGTTATTACATACTTGTCCAATAATTATTGTGGGTGTTATATCATCTAGTTATATATAAATGTAAATTAGCCTCTTCCGAAAAAAAATTACTAAAATGTATTCATCTTTAACTAAAGAAGGATTTGAACTAAGTATAAAACAAAAGATAAATTATCCTGAGTACTTTTAACAAGTTGTGCTAGATTATACATTTATACCTATACGACAATCTTTTTGTAGACTATGTATCTCCGGTTTGGATTTCTAAACTGTCTTAGTTAATAATAAGCTGTGGACAAAAAAAAAAAAATACCCCTTGTAACATGCTAAGTACTTAAACATCTGGGATACTAAGCTGTAGAATGGTTATTACATTAACGGGATAATAATCGTATTATAACCTTGAGAAGATTGAGCGAATTGGTGGCCATGCGTCCCTTGCTAACAAGACCAAGGCGAATCTGGTCTCGCTCTACGACAACAGCTTTGGGAGCAGAACTGTTTACGACAGAGCTTTGATCATATGCGACGCAAGAAGTGACCAATCTTAAGCATATCCGGCAAGGTGCGATGGCGGAAAAGGCGGTGGTTGAGGAAGACGGAGAGAGGAGAAGGAGGGAGGAAGAACGGCATTGTAGTAAATTGGTGGGGAGAAGGAGAGACATCGTTGTTGTGGCTGTTGGTAAGAGTGTAACGATTTATTTGACCGGCGTACTAATATATAATGTAGAAGGAAGCTCGCAGCAGCCATAGTTGGGAGATCAAATAGTAATAAAAGATTATTGATGCAACTTAAACAAACATATAATGAAGAAGAAAGATCGCAACAGCCATAGTTGGCCTTTTCCCATACGTTTCATTTTTCTTTTGTCATGATATTCGTTTTTCTTCTGGTCAAGATTCTAATCTAAAAATCTTAAAAGAAAGAGTTGTTTAACCATCGCCATGTAAGATTGAGAAACGTTAAAATTTTGAAAAAGTTAATAATAATTATTAGTAACTTTTTGCAACCCAAGATCAACAAAGAAAACATGCCAATCAGGTGGGAGCAACAATTGCAACAAATATGTTGAGAGATTCAATACATTATGACGAACTATAGATGACAAGTGGAAAAAAAAACAATCATATCTTTAGTTTGTTCGTTTACTTTTGTGTTTAACTTTTAATCTTTACATACGTATGTATATATACATTCAAATATATACATTATAAGACTAAATTAGAAATCCAATTGGTTGATTGACAATAATCCACTTGATTAATGTTCAAATCCACTTGTTTGGATTTTATAAATCAATTAGTTCATCAAAGATTTCTAAATCCATTATAATGCACAACAAACCAACAATTCCACCGGTTTTTTTTTTAAGTGAACAAAAGGTAAGAGATAGGTCGTATCTTTCGTATAGAGACGAAGAGTATGAAACTATGGTGACAGCGACTAGGAATATCTAATAACTAGATAACAACCCGCACTATGTGCGGGACAAAACGATTATTAAATATATTTTAATGTATTGATGATATTAAGGCGTCTAAGTTCTATATATTAGACAAACGATAGTGTATTATTAATTATCAAGATTAGTGAAATTTTTATTTATGTATTAATATTTTATGTTTATCATGATTTATGATATATATCTTGTTATATTAATAGTTATACAAAATATTTGGTACTCCATTTTTTATTTCTTAATTATATATTTTAATTATATTTTCGTTTTAATTAATTAAGAAAAATAAAAAAGCATAAATTAATTGGAAAAAATACACATAAGTAAAACTAATGGCAAAATCTGTAAATATCCTAATAAATTAAATGTTGGGTCTTTACTTAAATAGATTGAGAAGCTTTGTGAGAACGACACATCAGCATGGCATTTTCGTTAATCACACATGAAAGTAAGGTTATTTTTTAACAATGCTTCTCAATTAATATATAAGGGATTAAAACTGATAATCCAAAAAGAAAGTGGTCCCCTTTATATAGTTTGTGGTAACAAAATTAGCTAATCTTTAACTATCAACATCAAAAACAACCAAATTAAAATATACAATAAAATAAAGAAATGAAAAAGAGGAAAAAAGGAAAAGAAAAATAAAGTGACATATATAAAAAGAAGAAGGAAAAATAAAAGGAAATTTCGTCAAAAATACCATTTTGACCAAAAAACTTACAAAAAAAATCTCTTTTCCAAAATGCCATAATTTTGAATAGTGTGGTTTGAGTTGATGAAAATTTCTCCTACATTAAACAAGTGGGAAGTTGATAGACGAGAATGGTTATTTAAAAATTATTGTCTACTAAGCTATTTGGTGGACAAGAGTTTGAAACAACATATTTCGAAAAAGGGATTTTGGTCTAATGTGCCATTTACTGTAGCAAAACTTATACAAATTACCACAAAAAGTTTTCTTTTCTCAATCTGCCATTTTTTCACTTTATGGCAGACAGACAAAGACGAAAATACCTTCAGACGAAAATATCTAAATATCAGATATTTGGTGGACAAAACTTTGTTTCGGAAAATTTTGGTAGACAAAAAATATTATCCACATTTGAAACAACAGATTGGGATGATATTTGGTGGACAACAAATATTGTCCACATTTAAAACAACAGACTTTAAAGAAATTTGGTGGACAAGAATTCAAAACGGCATATTTCAAAAATTTTGGTAGACAAGAAATGTTGTCTACATTTGAAACAATAGATTGAGAAGATATTTGGAGGACAACAAATATTGTCCACATTTGAAACAAAAAAGACTTCAAAGAAATTTGGTGGACAAGAATTCTAAACGAAATAGTTCGAAAATTTTGGTAGACAAGAAATGTTGTCTACATGTATCTTCTTCCTTCTCAGATTTAGATTCGCTTCCACTTTCCAAACCAGATTCAGACCCAGATTTTTAATCTCGCTAAATCGCCAACGATGTATTCCTAGATCGAAAACGTGATGAACTCTTATATCTAGGGAGATTGAGCTTCACTTTTTAGAGAAAAAAAGAGAGAGATAGAGAGAGATGAGAGAGAAATGAGAGGAATGGAGATTGAACAAAAAAGCTTTCTCTCTAAAGGGTAAATTGGACTTTGCAAGTTGGGTTAGAAATTGGATTGTGGCACAATTGAAAAAGATTTGTGGGCTGTGGCAATTTTGGTAAGAATTGCTACATTGTGTGGCACATTTCTTAGATTTCTCTTCGAAAAAATTTGATCGACAAGAATTGTTGTCCATATTCAATGCTACAGATTTCAGAAAAATTTAGTAAACAAAAATATCCAACTTTTTGTCCACAACAACAGATTCAAAGACATATCCATACAAAATTCATTTCAATTTCGAATTAACATACGTTAAAAAAAATACGTCATTTATCTTACAAAATAATAATGTTGCCGGAAATATTTGGAAAAATATTATCCACGGTAATTTGTAGACATAAATATTTGGTTAATTATTGTCCACGGCATGACGTGGCACTGTCGGAAGTCATGTCGTTTTGACTTTGACCGAATTAGAAAACCTTTATTTGAAGGGCAATTTGGACATTTCACATAAGAGATATGGCACTCTTGGAAAGGAAGAAGAGCTTGTTGCAATTTTGATAAATTTTGAGATAGTGGCATGGCACATTTGTTAAAAAATTTTTTTAATTTTTTAATTTTTACTTTCCATTAAAACATTAAAAAACATACATGGCCAAGAGCCCAACAGGAGCACGCAGGCCCGAAAGAAAGAAACAAGGCTGAGAAGCCCAACATGAGCAGGCCCGAAAAGACAAAAAGAAACAAGGCCAAGAAGGCCAACAAAAGCACACATGCCTGAGAAGGAAAAAAGAGACTACAGAGGAAGCAAAAAAACAGAGAACCCCCGAAGCTGAAGAGAGAGTACTTAGACCTGAAACAGCGCGAACCAAGTGACGAGGAGAGAAGATCACAGAGGTCCAGAAGATTGTAACCTAGAAAGAGGATCCAGCCGAGCTCTAACAAGCAATTGAATCTCCTTTATGATTTGAGGAGGGTTACGAAAGTTGTTAGAGTGGATCCTAAGGTTTCGTCCTCTCCAAATAAGATAAACGGAAGCTTGGAAGAGGAGTTTAATGATAAGCGAGAGATTTTTAAACGTTGAAGCTGACTTCAACCAGAGTAGAGAAGCCATAAACTGCGAAGGAGGAGTCAATCCAGCCCTAAGGGTGCAGAAACGCCAAACCTCTCCACTGAAATGACATTGAAAGAACAAATGATTATGAGTCTCATCCACAACATAGCACAAAACACATACCGAAGGAGTGTTGAGTCCCCAACTCCGGAGTCTGTCCCTTGTGTGCAATCTATTCCAAGCCACAACCCAACAAATGAAAGCGTGCTTTGGTACCCGATCCTTGAACCAAACAGACTTATGCCAAGGGAAAGGAACACCATTTGGATGAAGAGCAGGCCAAGTTTTTGCCGCAGAGAACATGTTTGAAGGAGCATGATGATCAGCCTTCCACAAATAAACATCATCATGCATACAATCAATCATACTCTCCGGATCCAGCACGGAACTTCTTAGCAAAGCAATGATCGGGTTTCTACTTCTACTAGAGGCAATCCACCAGCTTCTTCCCCTTAAAGCATCACGAACCACATCAGTCAAGGGCATACCAACCGTGAGGGGACCATTATTACCAGTCACATGGATAAGAGGACCAAGTCTCGTCCAATTATCATGCCAAAAGCTAGCTGTTTCGCCAGAACCAACATCACAAACAAGAAAATGTCTGCCAATAAGGCGGAGTTTACACAGTTTTTTCCAAATCCAACTACTAGAGGAAGATGGGGTTAGCTCCCAAAAATTTATGTGACTGATGAGATTGAGCCTAACTCACGAGACCCATAATGAACCTGCAGACGTAAACAGCAGCCAAATCAACTTTAGAGCTAAAACTTTGTTCCTATCCAAGAGTCTTTTCGGACCCAGCCCTCCGCACTCCTTCGAAGTACAAACAATATCCCAAGCAATCTTAGTCTCCCTAGCTGAATTAGGCGCCCCTTTCCAAAGAAAACCATTGCACATCTGTTCAATCTTGCTTAAACATTGATTAGTAGAAGGAAAATCGACATCCAGAAGTTGAGAGTAGAATAAATCACAGACTTTAACAACTGTAGGCGCCCAGCAAAAGAGAGATGTTTCGCAGTCCAAGAGGAGAATTTAAAATTGATTCTGTCCAGAATAGGTTGATAGTCATGCTTCTTCATCTTTTGGGCCATAAGAGAGACTCCCAAATATCTGACAGGAAGAGACCCGTGTTTTACTCCGAAAGAGTTAGACAGCGGACAGGTTCTATTAATAAAAAAAAAAACAAAAAGGTGGCCCGTACATAGATGTAGTTACGTGACATGAACCATTATTATTTTTAATTGAAAATTATTATTTAGAAGTTTATGGTCTGAAATCTATTAGGTATAAAAACATTATGAGCCTCTTTAAAAAAACAAAGTTGGTAGCCCAAAGTCTTTTAGCCTGCCCAATCCTATGGTTTATATGAATTAAGCTGATCGAATTGTATAAGTGGGATGATTGTGGTTAGTGCATGACGGGTGACACAAGTTTCTTTAATAATTCAAATAATTATTTTTCCGTTAGAATTGTTAACTAATATTACTAACTCATACAATTGTCTTTTAAAAAAAGTCAAAAAGAAAAAAAGAAAGAATGTGAACCGCATTTGATGCATTTGAAATGCATTTGAAATCGCCCTATTTTAGGTTTAGTGTGCGGCCTAAGTTTGAGCATGAAAAAATATTGTATCGTCTCACCATAAATAAAACAAAATTTTGTGAGTGAACAAAATACAGATTGATAGTCTAATAGCACCACACGGTCCACACCTCAAAGTGACTCTCAAATCACTAGATACATTGTGCACCACTCTTGTTCGGCCACGTATAAACTTAACCACTCTCTTCTCCTGTTCTCCTATACTATTTTCACATCTCTCCATGACTCAACTCGTGGTCCTTCTTGCCCGTTATTTTTTGTTTTCTGACTTGAGCGTCAAAGAGGCGTTGAAAAACACCATACCATCGTGTTTCATGACATCTTATAACACCTAATATATTTCTGAAATTATTTATTAAAAATTTTAATTATAATTTTACTTTAAATGATTAAAAAAAACAAAGACAAAATATATAAATATTTTTTGAGTACTTAATTAAAAAAGTGGTCACATGTCATAAAAAGAAAGTGTCAAATGTCATGATAATGAGATTGTTAGAAGAGAAACTTTGTTATATTATACAAGATTTACATAAGGACTAGATTATACCCAGCGGGTCGATTTTTTAACTAAAAAAATTAAAATTTAAGTTGTATTTTTAATATTGTTTATTTTGTTAAGTGCTTAAGATTGTATAATTGTATTTTGATTGTTAATTTTAGGATTTGATCCGTGATATATATACCATCTCGTACTAATATCGATCCAAACCCGTCCCATCATATAACCATGTCCCGTGAAAATAAACATCATTTTGTTATTTATCTTTTAAATAATATTTTATTTAATAGATATATAATTTGAGTCAATTTAAAAGTTTTCTTTTATAGATAAACATATATATATATATATATAAATTTTGATAGAGTTCTAATATTATTAACGTAATCGATTATAATTTATTTTTTCTTAAAAAAGTGTTTTGATTAATTTAAAACAGAAACGTAAAAATAATTTAAAAATTTTATGCAATGAATATTATTTTGAAATTTATTAAGTTTGTTAATCGTTTAAATTTTCTAAAATCTCGGTAATAGTTATAGACGATTCCTATATCATTTATTTACCCGATTTGGATACATAATTATTTAGGTAAAATTAGTTAACTTCATATAATAATTTACGAATTAATTGCGTATGACTTGAGCGTCAAAGAGGCGTCGAAAAACACCATACCATCGTGTTTCATGACATCTTATAACACCTAATATATTTCTGAAATTATTTATTAAAAATTTTAATTATAATTTTACTTTAAATGATTAAAAAAAATAAAGACAAAATATATAAATATTTTTTGAGCACTTAATTAAAAAAAGTGGTCACATGTCATAAAAAGAAAGTGTCAAATTTCATGATAATGAGATTGTTAGAAGAGAAACCTTGTTATATTATACAAGATTTACAAAACAATGATGAAAAAAACGAAAAAAAAGGAGGAAAGATTTCCTTTTCGTGAATATATAAATAATATTAATCTAAAATCCAATTCCTAATTTTTACTCCATAATACAGTATATATAATTCTCCCCTTCCTTAATTACAAAGGCTTCCTACCAAAAAAAAAAAAAAGAAAACCCTAATGGTGGAGAGAAAGCTTCCATTAGATCTGGAAGAAGAGATACTCTTTCGAGTTCCACCTCGATCTCTCCTTCGCTTCAGATCCGTTTGCAGAGAATGGAACACTCTTTTCCACAATAAGAGATTCATCAACAAAAACTTTGCTTGCGCTCGCCCAGAATTCATGTTAAAGACTTATTCCCATATTTATTCGATAAGCGTCGATCTCAACGACGATCCAACTATAAAGGTGCGTGATTTACGCTTTGATCCTTTACGCGGTCGCCATTATAATCTCGATGGTAACTTCTTCTTGTATGACTTTCATGACGGAGGCGGATGCGTGGTTTCGAACCCGTTGTTGAGACAGAATAAATGGTTTGCAAAGGCTAAGAATATATGTGGCAAGTACATGGGTTACGATGGTAGTAGACCCGAAAAGAGTTACAAGATTATTGGGATGTGGGAACGTCATTCGCTGGATGGAATTACTACGACATATTTAGTCTCCGAATTTGCAGCCAATGCTTACTGGAAGGTTACTGATCATACCAGTTTTTACGAAGAGCCAGCATTTAGGAGTGACTCGTCCGGTAATAATAGGGTCTCCCTGAATGGAAATTTGTACTGGACAGCTCATACTTATCCCGAAACTGGTCAGTATTTCATCAGAATGCTCGATTTTTCGAAAGAGATAGAAATGTGTCAAAAGACATTCTGTGTTTTACCGTGTAAGGAAAAAAAAAGTACTACACATACTCGTGTCCTCTCGATGTACAAGGGAGATCGGTTTTCAGTGTTAGAACAATCCAGAAAAACAAGAGAGATTGAGATTTGGGTGACAAAGGATAAAATTAGTAATGCGGATAATGGAGATGACGTGGTGTGGATTAAGTTCATGACGGTCTCAATACCTGACTTCCCTATGGTACTTAGTCACATGTCTACAAAATATTTCGTCGATAATAATATCTATGGAAAGAGCTTTGTTCTGTGTTGTCCAAGCAAGATACCTAAAGCAGCTTGGGTGTATATTGTGAGGGGAGATCTGTGCAAAAAGATTAAGATAGATCAAGTGCTATGTGAGTTTGAGTCCTCTGTCTATGTTCCAAGTTTGATCACCATTCCTTGAGAGACTTTCGCCTAAAGCTAGTGATCACAAGAAGATCTTTTACAAGTTTGATTTCCATTGTTGCTTTCTTGTTTTATTCATTTATTTCATAAAACTTTTGCAAGATTGATTTCCACAATTTTGTTTGGCCTACGTCGTGAGCTTGGGAAGATATTCAAAGTCGTTTCTCTGTCAGTGATTCTTGTTTATATATAGCTTACAGAGAAGAAGTTTATTTACTGAAAATCCCCAAAGCGTTGATCCAAACAGCTTAGAGAGAAGAAGAGAACACCAATATTTTGTGAAGAAAACATGGAAGACTCAAGTCAAACTGGAACACATACTGCCCACCATAGCTGCAGGTCCGGACGTACCGATGTGGAAGATAGGAGGAGAAGATGATATCAAGTCAAAGTTCTCGGCAACAAGCACCTGGAGTCAACTTAGGCATGTGAAGCCAACTCAAGTAAGGCACTGTATAGTATGGTTCTCTTAAGGATTACCACGCTACTCTTTCATTACGTGGCTAGCCATAAGGGACAGATTAGCCACTGGAGCGAGAATGCGTAGGTGGGGTTTCTCCCAACCTTGCTTATTGTGTGGTGAGCCAAATGAGACAAGGGACCATATCTTCTTTGCTTGTCCTTTCTCTTTTATGCTATGGATGGAGGTCGCAAAGCCGCTGCTAGAAAGAAGGATCTCTTGGGATTGGAGCCGTATACTCCTTTCTTTGTCACCAGCTACGTACAACCTTACGGACTATACTCTCCTACGATTGTGTTTTCAGGCAGTGATTTATCACCTATGGCGTGAACGAAATAGACGCAAAGTCATCAACGACACCACTCCTCCCATCAGTTGGCTCTAAACATCATCAAGATTAATTTCATGTCGACTCATAGGTCTTAAATATCCCACAACTTTAAAGTTTGGAGATCTAGTCTCATTTGCATCCTCTGTAAATTATCTATGGATTTGGCTCTGTTTTGCCATTTTATGGTTTTAAAAGTCACTAGGACTCTGTTTTTGTTAAAGTTCAGTTTGGTTGAGTTACTATTGTACATACCACCTTTGATTTTTTGATCTATAAATTTCACATTTCATCAGAAAAAAAAAACATGGAAGACACTTACGACTTACGAGTGTAATGCAATGAAGTGGTTCTGCTTGAGGGCATGTTCAGGGACAAGACGGTCCATGGTTTCAGTAGGGATGCAAGAGAGTTGTGTACGACACAAAGTCTCAATCAATTTATGCAACACTTTACATCAAAAGAGCTGATCAAGGACACAGATTCATATTTGCATTGTACCTTGCGGTTTTAAAATTAAAAGTGGAGGAAGTGGCCGACGAGTGTTTGGGTCTCAGACGGGTGGATACAAGCTTGTACCTATCAGAAAACGATAAGACATATTTATTAATGGCTTTAGAACTTCCGATGGTGATTCCAAACAAACTATGAAAGTATCATCAAACGTAACAAAGTCAGAGAAAACAATTGATGTGCATCTCAAATTAGGAGAATAGTGGAAGAACCTACAAACAAGATCTACTGCTTTAGGTGGCAAACATTTTTGGAATACCTGATAAGCACAAACACATGATTCTTGTGCTTGTAAGAAGATGACTAGAGAGTCAGAGTCGCAAAACAAAGGTAGTTATCACATAAGCCAAAATCTTAGCACGGAGTACAAAAACAGAAAAATAACTTAGCCCGAGCCACAGAGTTATAAAATGTCAAAACAATCGATTAATTAAGACCACAGAAATAATTCAGTACCATCCCACAGTACTATGTCATTAGGTCATGTCTCTTAGACCACACGCAGTGGTGCAATTTTAACTCGGGTGTTAGTAATAAAAAATAGAGAAATAATAAAATAGTGGGTATACAGATAACACACGGGTGTTAAAAAAAAAAAAAAAAAAAAAAAAAAAAAAAAAAAAAAGATAACACACGGGTGTTAAACAACACACATGTGTGAGTATTATTTTTATGTTTGATGTTTCATCTATCTCTCTCTCCACACAAATCTTTCTCTTTTAAAAAAAATTATAATAAATATATTGGTCACACCCAAAACTAAAGTTTCCCACCTTAGTATAGCTGACACCTTTGTTTTGTTAGCCAGTTAGCCAGAGAAATTATATATGAAGTTAAGATCAACGTTTATAAGATTTAAATGATTATGTTTTTTTTTGGTTAAAAGCTAAAATAAAGTTGTGGAAATCTCCTTAGTCCAGTGGTTTGACTTAAGATTTATTAATACTTTAACACTAGTTCTGTGGTTCGATTTTCAAAAAGCGTAATTTCTTGCAAATTAATAGTGTTCAACTTATTGGAGGTATAAAATATCACAAACAAAACCGTTCATTATGATCTTGTACGTTGCAAGGAGAAAATGAATGTCGTACAAACAAAACAGTAAGTTAGAAATCCGAGTGTTGCATGAGAGATGTGCTCATCATAATCGCATATGTTGTAAGTAGTTGAGTATCATTAGATTAAATATTTTTAATGATGTAATATACGGAAAAAAAATAAAATAAAATAAAAAAGAGAAAAAAAGATAAATTAAAAAGGTTTCCTTTTCTCGAATATTAGTTATATACTTATATAAAATTTTACTCTTTATATATATAAAAACTTCTTCTCTAGCTTCCTTTACAAAGAAAACCCTAATGGTGCCCAGAAAGCTTCCGTCAGATCTGGAAGAAGAGATACTCTTTCGAGTTCCGCCTCTATCTCTCCATTGCTACAGATCTGTTTGCAAAGAATGGAACACTCTTTTCAACAATAAGAGATTCGTCCACAAAAACTTAGCTTGCGGTCCCCAAGAATTCATGTTAAGGACACATTCCCATATTTATTCGATAAGCATCGATCTCAACGACGATCCAACTATAAAGGTGCGTGATCGCTTTGAGTTACCCGGTAACCGTTATCATCTCGAAGGGACCTACGATGGTAACTTCTTCATGTATGACTTTCATAAAGGAGGCAGCGTGGTTTCGAACCCGTTGTTGAGACAGACTAAATGGATTCCCGCGGATGAGATTATATGTAGCATGAGCATGGGTTACGATGGTAGTAGACCCGAAAAGAGTTACAGTATTATCGGTGATAATAGTTATAATACTGATCATTTGGCGGGTAAAGTTACTAGGAGATTTGCAGTCTTCGAATTTGCAACCAATGCCTGGAAGATTACTAACCATACCAGTTTTCTCAAGGAGTCACACTCAGAATTAATAGTGTCCGATAGTAACAGGGTCTCCCTGAATGGAAATTTGTACTGGACTGCTTATAATTATAACGAAACTGGTCAGTATTTCATTATAATGCTTGATTTTTCGAAAGAGATAGAAAAGAGGAGGATCTTTTGTATTCTACCGTTTAAGGGAAAAAAAAGCGTGTACTCATACTCGTGGCCTCGCGATTTACAAGGGAGATCGGTTTTCAGCATTAGAACAATGCACAATAACCAGAGAGATTGAGATTTGGGTGACAACGAATAAAATTGGTAATGGGGATGATGGAGACAATGTGGTGTGGATCAAGTTCATGACTGTCTCAATACCTAACTTCCCACTGGTTCGTCACAACATGTCTTCAAGTTACTTCGTCGATAATAATATCTATGGAAAGAGCTTCGTTATGTGTTATCTTAACGTGAAACCTAAACAAGCTTGGATCTATATTGTGAGGGGAGATGTGTGCAAAAAGATTAAGGTTGATGAAGTGCTATGTGAGTTTTTATCCTATGTTTATGTTCCTAGTTTGATCACCATTTCTTGAGAGACTTTAGCTGAAGCTAGCTAGTGTGCAAGAGGAACTTTAACAAGTTTTATTTCCATTGTTGCTTTCTTGTTTTATCTATATATACATTTTTGGATGACTTTTAGCAAATAAATCCTGAAGTTGAGAAGTATTTACAAGAGAATGCCATTGTCATTTATTGTTTAGATATGCAAAACTAAATCAAAGATATTACCTTCTAAAATCGTGGCCAACAAATCTTTTACAAAATATATAACCCCAACAATTTTTTTTATTTTGTTTCATGGATTCTGTTTTCTAAAAGAGTTTACGTAAGTGAATAATTAAACAAACGTGATATGTGATTTATTATGGTTTGGAACTTTGGCTTCTCATTTAAATTAATTCTCAAAGACAAAAATAAAACAAAATGTTATCCGACGTTCTCATTTATTAGGCGTTAAAATTAAAAGTGTTATCCAGTTTACTCCGGTTCTTTATTTTAAATAATTAAAAAAATTTCAAAGTTTCAAATATTATAAATATTTACTCTATAAAAGAAATATTATAATTGTTTAAACTTTTTAAAAAGTTAAACTTTATAAAACGTTTTAAATATTTATAATATTAAATTTTTTTGAAGTTTCAAATATCGTAAATATTTTAATTTTATAAGAATTTATAAGAATTTTAAACATTATAAATATTTAAACTTTATCAGACGTTTAAAAGTATTTATAATATTCACTCTATAAAAAGTTTATAATATTAATAATATTTGAACTCTATATAAATAAATAAAAAATCTATATATTATGGTAACCATTTAAAGCAAACTTTTAAATTGACCCAAATTATATGTTTTTAAATAAAAGTATTATCAAAAAGAAAAATAACAAAATAATGTTTAGTTTTACGGGGTAATATGGTAGAACGGGTTAAAGTCGATATTCATACGAGACGGTATATTACGGATGAAATCCAAGAATGTATATATACATTTTTGGAGTATCTTTAGCAAATAAATCATGGAGTTCCATCTAATTTACGAATTCATACAATTGACACTTATTATTTAGTTTTACAAAATAATCAAAATATTCACATAGAAAAATTATATAATTTATATGATAAAATTTTAAATATATATTAGTAGTATAAATTTGAAATCATTCAAGGAAATGTATACCACGGGTGAGATCCTAAAATTATTGGATTTTATAACAATAATAATTTATTATCTTGGATTTTATAACACTAATAATTTAGGTAACGGAATAATATAGACAGGTTTATATGGGATGACTGGTTTGGGTCGATATTAATAAATAACGGTATATCACGGATGAAATTCTAAAATTAACAATCAAAATACAATTATACAACCTTAAACACAAAACAAAACATACAATATTAACAAAACAAATACAACTTAAAATTTAAAAATTTTAGTTATACAAGTATCGACCCATGGTATACCGCGGAGTAAATTATTCAAAATTTTAAAATTGATCATACTTCGTTACTTAAAAAATGTATGTTTTCGTATCTCTATTTCAAAAATTGAAACCTAAACAATAGTAATCATACACTAAATAATACGGGAAAACGGCCTTTTTCAACCTCGACTATTTGCTGGCGAGTTTTTTCAACCCAAACTATGACCCCCAGTCGATTTCAACCCGAACCCATAAATAATACAAAATCAAAACCTAAACTAATGTAAATGAGCCGATTTCAACACGACGTGAAACAATGTTAGTTCGGAAATTAAGAGTTCTCAAAGTTATTTGATTTTATTTTCAAGGTTTGATGAATGTTGTAGAGAGAGAATTACCCAAGGTTTAGTAACCGTTAACTTCCGAACTAACACCGTTCCGCGTCGTGTTGAAATCGGCTCATTTGCATTAGTTCAGGTTTCGATTTTGAATTAATTTTGGGTTTGGGTTGAAATCGACTAGGGGTAATAGTTTGGGTTGGAAAAACCCGCCTGCAAATAGTTGAGGTTGAAAAAGGTCGTTTTCCCCTAAATAATACATAGATAGATATCTACATTTAAAAATACAAACTAATATGATATATCTTCAGTTAATCTTTTAAAAAATAACATTACATTTTTTAAAAAAATATAGTCCCGCGGTGTACCGCGGGTTAAATTCTAGTTTTGTTACTTATTATTTAATAAAACTTTTACAAGATTGATTTCCACAATTAGTTTTGGCCTTATTTGGTTAATTAATAATAGAGGTTTAATTTTGTTTAAAATCTAGTCGTGAGCATGGGAAGATATACAAAGTCGTTTATATATAGCATA